AAGAGAAAAAAAGGAAAGAAAATTGTTATAATGGGTGATGTAACATCACAGACATAATATGAGGTCCTTGGCACTCAGACTTTAGAGGGGTCATTTTGTGATCATGGGGCATCATCACCCTTACAGCATCAAGACAATATCATATGGAGTCAGACACTGGAAGTGTGCTGGAGGCTGATGCGTTGACTGGGACTGATGGAAGGATGAGGCTGATGAGAATGAAGAATCTGCGAGGAACGAACTAGCGGCAGAGGAATAATTATATATTAAAAGACAGCAACATCATAAGAGGCCAACCAGAGTGACAGAGTGTGTCACTTTGCGGAAGGATATTTGTGACCAGCTATCCAGGCCAGTCTCTAAAGACTTTCCAAGGTGTAAAAATGCTGCTGCCGGAGTACTGACTGGAAGTATTGCTGATAATATTATGTCCACCATATCCTCTTAAAATACTCTGTCCAACAATATCAGTCTCAGGAAGAAAGGTTTTTTAATGCTTATTAAAAATAGCAGAAAAACATGCATTCTTGTACTAACAATACCTGTCTTTCTGCTATATGTGATGAGCAATACAAATTCTTTTACGTTCTTAAGAAGACTGATCATTTTGGACCCAGTAGTTAGACTACTAGCAAAGACTATAAAATACTTTTGTGTACTTTCAGAGAAATCCTCTGTCAAAGTCCACCCTGAATACCCCAGTGCAGATGCTCCTGTTGTCTCTCAAACACAAGCAGACACATTACTTTCCAAAAATGGAAAGTTATCTTGGTCCCGCTCCCCACGTGAAGAACAGGGTAGGTTTAGTGCTGCTAATGTAATGAAAATGGCTCCAGGCCCCACAAGATACGCTGTCAGCCATGTCTAAGACCTGAAGTTAGCATTGAGCTCTTCATAACACCATCAATAGAGGATTGATGAAACAATATACTTGAGATTATGAATTTAAAGGTGAGGTGCATGCATGGGGACAGTTAGGAGTTGGGTGGGAACCACTTATGGCGCATTTCCACCATGGCGCGGAGCGCGGTTTAAGCGTGCCGTGTCGTGCCGTGCCCGTTTTTGGTTGCGCTTCCACTAGGCCTAGTTACGGCCCGGCCCGGCCCGGGGCCACTTTTTCACCTCTTTTCTGGCCCGACAAAATTGTGGTTCTATCGGGGCCAACAAACAGGGCTGAGTCGGGCTGAGTATGCTAAACTAGAGAGAGGATCGCTGGCAAGGGGGCTACAACTACAACAAGATGGACATATTTGACCGTGATTTAATTGTAATACACGTTTCAAAATGATGCCGAAGTAACAACATACTGATACCGGTTAGTAAAAACCATGAATTAATGCTTTGGCAAGTTTGCAGACAGACGGCAGGCGAAAAACCTTTTAAAATGCGTGTTTTCTAGATGGAGATTGGCTAAGCTCCGACCGTCCACACTCACAACAACGGCCTATACAGACATAAATAAAGCAGCGACTGTATTCACCATGACACAGGCAGTCTGTGGTGTGTACTTGTTTAACTTTTGTCGAGTTTCTGAACATATATAAGGAGCTGTGAGCTCTGAGTGCTAACAGCTAACGGCTGTGTTGTTTTTCTGGGGTTCTCAATGAAGATGACGTCACGGCTCCGCCTACACTGCGTTACTATAGTAACTACCCCAGTTCCTAAACTGTAATGGAAGCGCAGCATGAAGTGAGCCGGCCCTGTTAAGGCCCAACGCGGCCAAGCAGTACCGAGCGTGGCCGAGGCCGACCGTGTGGTGGAAATGCGCCATTACAAGCCCACATTGGTTTGTTCATTTTGGCAGGAGTGTAGAAATCAAAAAGGGAAGCAACGGCATGCCTTTGGAATGCTGACACTGGAAGGGAAATATGATTGACCCCAAACACAATACATGTTACTATCCTTGATAATATACTGTACATTTCTTAAATGCCAAAATTGTACTTGGAAATAATATAGATCCTTTAACAACAGCAAAAAGATCATCCTTTAAAATGTTACGTCAATCAGTGAGATTTTATGGTGATTTATATATTTTACAATGGTCACATAATAGGAATTATGGATGTATAATGCTGTGGGTGGAGGGGGAGGTGGGGGTAGTGTTTTATTTAAATGGATATTTAGATAGTCAACAAAGAACTCAGGTATTTGAAACATACATTTTGGTAACAATTTTGGATATGATCATTTTCTTGAGCTTTAAACTCCTGGGGTCAAAATGACCACCAAGGATAAAGGGTGTAAAGCAAATGTGAAGATAAAGGAGGGTTAAGAATACATTATATAGCAGTTTTTTGATTTACAATATCCTAAAGTCTATTTTTTAACACACTATTGAGTTGGCTTTTTCATTACATTTAAAATATAAATTGTACCTAAAATAACACTGAGTGAAGGGTATACATATTCACACCATATGCAATCATAGGATATTTTTTGTTCGAAAGATATTTGTCCAAATTGAATACAAATTAATACAAATGCAAAACATTAAAACAAATGTCCAAAGCCATATTATAGATTATTTGATTGTGTAATTACAAGGTGAGAGAAAATAGATCCACATCGTCAAACACCACTCCTGAAATTGACTTTGGTTGAAGTTTATTATAATATTGACATTATATAAAGATCTATATAGAACATTGATTAAGCCTTACGGGTCCCTTTTAAAATATATATATTTTTTGTTTAATGTTCTGGGCTGATAGTGCCTTATTTTCAATTTGAAAACACAGGATCAATTCTTCATGGATAAAAGCAGTATCTGTTTGCTAACCTTAGATATTGATTTATTTAAATAACTACTGACCTTTGAATACACATTGCAAACATAGCCTTAAAAAGGTGCAGGAAAAGGACTTAAAATGGTATTACTTAAAGACTGGACTTTTTAATTCAGTCGAGAAGAGAAAAGAGAATAAAGGAAAGAACCTTGTTATAAGGGGTAATGTAACATTAATGACAGACATAATATGGCTAGGGAGGCTGTGGCTGATCGTGCGTTGATCTTCGGATCAGGGGGGAACTGGTTCAATCCCCACTGCAGTCAGCATGTCGTTGTGTCCCTGTCCCATGGGCTTCACCCCAAATAGCTCCTGTGAGGATTGTCCACAGTATTGAGTGTAGTCGCTTTAAGGTAAAAGCAACTAACAAGTGACATGTAGTATGAGGTCATTGGCACTTGGCATTCTGTGATCATGGGGCATCACCCTTGTACAGCATCAGGACAATATCTCTATGGAGTCAGACACTGAAAGTGTGCTGGAGGGTGATAAGTTGACTGGGACTGATGGAAAGATGAGGCTGATGAGACTGAAGAATCTGCGAGGAAAGAACTAGGGCAGAGAAATAATCATATTTTAACACTTTAATTGCCAGACCAAGAAGAAATCTATGGACAAATTATTTCTTTGCATTTTTTTATCAAATAGGACAAATAACCACAAACCATCTTTTATTTTTTTTACTGACCACACTGATTTTAAGAGCCTCTACCAACTGGTCGAGCTGGCCTTGGTAAAAGTGCATTTTCAACAATCATCATACAGTACAGTGTATGCCTCAAACTCAAATAAAACACAAACTGAAATACATTTTTTTCTTTTATGGAAGATGAGCAATATATACAACGAGATATATTCATTAAAAAAAAATTATAATTGTAAAAAAAAAAAGAAATGGAAAAAAGTAATGTAAAGTGTTTTTCATAATAAAAAAAATACTTGCTCATCTTACTGTATATGCTGAATTGGCCTAACAACAAACAACTGGCCTAACAGGCCGGCGTCCTTCGTTGCGGGAGATTTCAAGGCTGCACATGTGTATCCTCCGCGGTCTTAAAATCCCCACAATGCTTTGCGCAGGGACCAATTTCCAAATCTTTGGCGGAAATCACGCTCCATTTAAGGCGGAGCCTCGCATATGACGCACACCTGTTAGCCTGTTCCACAATTCTTCGTTTTTCGAGGCTAGGAAGGATTCTAGCCTCGCTTCTGAAGGACCTGACTCGGAAGACATGTCCTACCAAGGAAGCGTCCTCGACATTGAGAAACACCCTCTGACTGGTATACTTGTTTTAGTAAGAACTTGAAAAACAAAGGGTTAAAACGTACCTTGGTCGGACCACCGGTCTTCGTTTTTAATGTTGTTTAGCTGATTAGTTAGTTTTAAGACAAAGCAACACTTCAACCTACATGCTGAATTTAACTATTTGTTTCTTTGACTCCACACAGGGCCGGATCGTGGCATAGGCAAATGCTAAGAGTGCATCCATCCATGTTGAGTTTTCAGTTATTCTTTATATTGTGTATTCCTTGGATACTGTGTTGATAGAAAATATATATTTTGTACTGTACAATTTTCAGGCTGGGGTGGGGGGCACCACCTAAAATCTTGCCTATAGGGCAGCAAATTGTTCAGAGCCGGCCCTGACTCCACCCCTGCTTCTCCCTCATCCACTCACCTGCTGTTAGAGGCGTCGTGCTGCCCTCTACTGGTGGAATTACCTCAGTCATATTTTTGTCTTTCCAAGTCAAGTAGCGAAAGGAAACATGGATGCAATTATAGGGCTATATGAAAATGAGTAGTGTGATTTTTTTAACAATTTGCAGCAAAAAAAGATTTAAAGGTTCCCCATTATACTGTTTTTCATCAATATATAAGTCTCAGATATATACAAACATGTCTCTGAAGTGTTTGGCTCAAAATACCAAACAGAACATGCATTGTAGCATCCCATAAACCCCTCTGTTTCAAAAGTGCTGATTCTGTGTCTGTTACTTTAGATGAAAAATAAGGAGCCACTCATAAAGTGGCCAAAATCTGATCAGCTCATTGTCAGACAGGTTTAAATGGATCAGGACAAAAAGTGAGCGAATCTCTCTTTTCCCTCTACACAGAGGACACACACTTATGTACAAAATACATGAAAAGTAGATTTTGCACAATAGGTGACCTTTAATTAAAACTGTAAATACAGATAAAAAAACAGTAGATTGTTTTTTTCTTTCGTTTGGTTTTAATACAAAAATCCAGATATCATACATCGCCATCTCAGATTTCATCTTTCACATTAGAACCCAAATTAGAGGAAAAAGGGGAAGAAAAGAGATTATTGGGGGGGAAAAAGAAAAAGTAAAACAACAAATTTCAGATGCTCAGACGTTTACTTGCCTTGTAACCTGTTCACTTCCGTCACCTTGGGAAACGGGCCTGGATGCTGAACTCTGACCTCTTGGAGCAATTTTAACTAGCAGAGTTCCCGCTCTAAGTGATAGAATCCCTGTGTGCATGCAGATAAAACCATTTCTAACAGTGACAACAGCAACACCACAAGTGACTCTGCCAGGAGGCTCAGTGGAATCACTTCAACCAGATCTACAAATGATTATCATCAATAATACGTTTATTTGATCCATTATGGACAGGAAGGTGTCTACGGTATTGCTTAGATCTATCCAACTCTCAGAACTTGTTAGAATGTTAGAACAGCAGTGTATTTGAAAAGGAGCACTCCACACAACCTAGAGTTTTTAAATATGCTCCATATGAACAGACAGGGAACAATTTCCGAAGTTTAACCAGGAGCGAAAGCACAGTCTGACCAAAAAAAACAGAACAAAAACATGTGCGGTGACGTTCTTTGTGCCGGGCCTCTGCAGAGATCAGGCTTCCTCACTCACTCCATTGCACTGCCACTTGTAGATCGGCGGAGATCGGCGGTTACTGGAGCGTTACAGCAGATTGGCGTGTGGTCGCTGGATGTCCTCGGTGTGTACTTCTGTTCCTCAGTAACTCTTCCTGCTCAGCTTCCTACAGATCTGTCAGAGATCAGATCCACTCAGCTCAGTCTCCTGTCCCCCAGTGACAGCTGTGTCCTTTTAAAATTTAAATAACCTTTTTAAAATAAGGGGAACCGTTATTGATCATCGAGGAAAACCGGCAGTCCATGTCAGTCCATCGCGGTTTCTCCAGACAGTTTGCCAATAACTAAAGTGTATTTTCCTACTCAGCTTGGTTGTCAGCTTTATTTAAAAAAGAAAAAAAGAAGTAAAATGGCCATTCTGTTATCTTTCTCTTCCCCCCCTCTTTCCCACAAATATACACAACCGCACACATGCTCTCAACACACACACACACGCGCACACACAGTCCTGATTTTCACCAAGTGGGAGAGCCAGGCCATGCCAGACCCAATTTAAGCGGAGCCAAAAGAATGTAACACCCATTTTCGCTTCCTGTGACTGGCTCTTAACAAAATGGCTGCCAGGCGTACCACAAGGCTCAGTGCTCGGCCCAATTCCTTTTGTCATCCGCTGTTGATCTGTAGCATGCTCACATCTCGTTGGCTAGCTCTTCCGTCTCCGTGGAGACATCTCCGTTGGCGATCTTTGTGTTCTCCTCATACCCGGGAGGTGTGAAAGCTAACGTGTAGGGGTAAAGCTTGTGACACTCTGCACGGTACGACTCTGCATGCTCCTTACAGTCGCCCAGCAGGCCGCCTCGGAGACAATCCAGGACCTCTGTGCAGATCTGAAGAGGGGAGCAAAGAGAGGAAGAATTATAAAAAAACAGCAGTTCCATACGTTTTGAGATTTTTGTTTCTTAAAAGTATTTTTAAAGGCATAGTTCAGATTCTTTTTAAAAAGGGGTAGTTTTTCTCTAAATGTATTTTGTGCTGTTACACGTTTCCATGCTTAAATATTAAAAAAAGGGCTATATTTTTCCTTGTGCTGCAGCACGTGATAAGTGAACCGCTTAGAGATGCTTAGGAAATGTAATTTAATTACAATAGTCATATTTATTAAACATTCTCGGTGTTCATTCACATTATTGTTAGGATAATTTAATATCAGTCTTAAACACACACACCTTCCAAAAAAAGTGTTGACAAATAATTCAATTGTGTAGCTTTTAAGGCCTTTTCCTTTGTATTATTACTGACATTAGCATTGATGCGTACCTGTATGGTTCTGTTGTTGAGCGACTCATCTAGTGCAGTGGCCAGCTCTGTCGCCTTTGTTTCCGTCGATGAGTCCAGATACACCATCATCTTAGCAGCTGCAGGAGGGAGGAGTTTGTTAAAAAGGTGGATCAAACCCTCAAAAGTTAAATGACATGGTTCCAGACAGAAAAAACCTTGCAAATGTATGACCATTAAACAAGTGTTTGTTTTTTTCTTGTAAATGTACCACCTGGCCATTCTGTGTTTCTTTATTGGAATAAGACAGGCCTCTGTAATTGTTTGAAATGTTTAACTACAGTGGCTCTTATATGCCTTCATATATTGAGTATTAAATGGGAACCCGACCTTTTATAACAGATTGTATGTACTTGTGTGTGTGTGAGTCCTACCAGCCAGTCGGTGTGGTATGGAGTTGGAGTGCTTGGTGAGGTAAGCCTGGTTGAAGCTCGTTGCGTTGCTGTCTCCGAACAGCCGGGTGATCTCCTGCTTCAGAACCGTCCTGACCGTCTCCGGCAGCTCCGTGCTGTCAGACACTGAAGGAATGGAGGAGGGGGAGAGATGTGAGCAATGGTGTGAAGAATGTAGAAACAAACTGTGTAGTAGGTAAGACTAAAATGCTATGTAACAAAGTGGAACCCTCTCGTACCTCCTTTAAAGAAGCGTACTAGACACTGGTGTAACCATGGGTGGTCTGGGTCAATGGCCAACGCCCTCTTCACGGATTGGAGCATCAGCAGGTATTTTTCTGGAGAGAAAAAAAGACCAAATGCAAGGTAAGACGTGAGTTTCAACATGGTAAGAACTAAAGAAAAGTCACTGAATTTAAATGCTCTTGCCAACCTTTCCTGAAGTAGATCTCGAAGGCCATTAGGTGCGTGTCGATTTTGTCCTTGACCAGGTGTTTGAGAGGCATCAGGAACTTGACAGCTTCCTCCAGTGGATTTTCTACCTATAAACAGGAAGTGACAGCAAGGGAACACACATCAAATCACTGATTGCTTGCTATTCTATGTGTAGATATGTGTGCAGCATCAAAGACAAATTGCCTCGTCACTGACACTTTAGGTCTTTAGGATTTGTCATGCTCTTCTTTCTAACCTTGACCAGCTTGTCAGGTATTAGCTCCTCCTTAGGCCCGCCGATCTCCTCATCATCATCCTCCTTCTTCTTCTTCTGGTTCTTAAGCTGCTTCTCCTTTTCAGCAATCTTCTTCTCCTCCTCTAGCTGGGCCTTCTTCTGGGCTCTCCGCTGCTTGTTCCTCAGCTTCTTCAGTTCTTTGTCCGAGAGGTTAGCTAGAGAAGAGAACGGGGCGTTAACGTATGGATAAAAGCATTTTCTTTTTTCTTTTGGCCCAGGAAAGTTTTAAAATGTAAATAAAACCAGTGTGGGACTTACCGGTGTCGGCCTGCAACTCCTTGCTGTCGTCAGTCAGCGGATTGTCGTGCAGGCTCAGGTAGATCTGGATGGCGCTGGTGGCAGCCTTGTAGTAGAAGGGATGCATTCGCAGCACGTCCTCCAGCTTCAGTAGGTCCACGTAGGAGCGTAGCGTCATCTTCCGCATGCAGTAGGTGTGGAAATCAAACTGGTCGTCCGTGATCTCCACAAAATGCTGATAAGAGATGGGAGAAAAAAGGAGGAAGATGTAACAAAAAAAAAAATACAAGGATTTGACCTGTTCATGACATTTAATTTGGGTAGCTAAGGAGTTTTGCGCAAACATTGCTAGGAAAAATACACCAAGTACACTCCCTGATAATAAGGGCTCACCCTTTCAATCTCGTGGCACTTCTTGAGGGCATCCCCAAACTTGTTCATGGACTTGTAAGCGAGTGCACACTCTGTCTGGAACCACATGCACTGCATCTCGTTCAGGTTCTCCACTGCTGACGCTCCCTCCTGGACAAAGAAGCAAAAAACACATGCATGAGCAAAGTCAATTACAAAACAGGGGCATGCTCTATTGTCATGTGAGGTCAACTGCTGCAAACGGATTTGGCAAGTCAGTGTGTGTCACTGTGAACCTAATACTCCCAGGGATGTTAGGTTTGGCCATGTCAGCAGGATTTCTGAAAAACTACTGCAACAACTTTAGTGACATTTGTTGTAAGGCTGTAGCACGGGCAAAGAGAGAACTCTTAACATTTTGAAACGGATGCAATTCATGGATACATTAAATATTGTGCAGTTCCGTTAACCTTGTGGGACTGGGCATTTCATTTTATTCTACATTCATGCTTTGGTAAAATGCGTTTCCAAAGTAAATTCATAGGAAATGTTTTATGTTGTACATGTGTTAAAACAATTCTTTCTGATATTTTCAGAACCTTATCTCAGCACAGTTTGTACTTTTCTCACCCTAGTGAACTTGGAGCACATTTCCTCTGCCTCTTTCACCATGCCGGCCTTCAGCATGTACTTAGCACACTTGGAGTTGATGAATCTGTCGGCGGTGTCCAGAGCCTGGGCCTCGTCCATCCACTGAGCAGCTTCTTTGATGTTGCCAGCATGCTGTGGGAGGCTAAAGGTCAATACGGCAGTCATGACACTAACACAGCTACTCGGTAAACACTTGGACTAATGTGTGCCGTGCGTTACCTTGTAAATCTTGGCTTTGATGAGGAAGAGCTCGATGAGCGTGGGAGTGCTGTCGATGGCGGCGTTGATGTAATCTAGAGCCAGAGTCTGTTGGTCAATCATGTCGTAATGCTGAGCCAGGAAGTACTGTACCCAGAGCAACGTGGTCGGAGGTTCCTCTTTACCGTCATCTGCCACAGTACAGGAGAGATTGCGTAAGTTCACGTCTTTACGATTACTAAGAAAAAAACTACAGTTAACCTTGTAAGTTATGAATGCAAATGAGTAAACTTGGTTGTAATCCCTAAGATTTTATAGAAGTCAACCCCATTTTTGTTGCATTTTATCTGCAACATTCCTTTAATGGATTTAAGTTCTGAAATGTCCTCTTGTAATTATTTATTTAACATTATAAGCAGTAGAATGTACCATTCAATGCTATGGATTCATAATAACTACCTATGCAGGAAGGATTCACAAGTACATTTTCAATATGCAATTCAAATTGTTAGATATCAGCCTCGCCATTTACTGTTTGATCAAAAAGAAAACTTCTGAAAAAATATATTGATATCGAATCATTGTTGATGTTATGCTATTCAGTTGAGAGAAAGCTTGTTCTTGGCATCTCAAATTAGGAGTTGAATATGAATATGAATATGAATGTTGTTCTGGCTGATTTAGATGTGATTATTCGTGCCTGTGTCAGAAGATGGGGCACCCCTGCACATGGAGGCATTGCTGGCTCAGCTCTGCAAGCATGGCTTTATACTCTTGGGTGAGTCATTTTTTGATTCAATTGCCTGAACGACATTGACATTGCTTGGACATTAACATAAAAGGAGGTAGGGCTGCTCAATTAATCATATTTTAAATCGCAATTACGATTATGGCTTGCAACGATTACGAAAACAACGTAATCGAAATAAAACGATAATTTTTTTATTATTATTATTACTTTTTTCAAATTAAATTATTTTTTTATTGGTTTTTCAGTTGAATTATACTTAAAGTTCAGGGTAATCGACTGTTAAAAACATACTGTTCAAATTTGTTTTCTCCAATAAATGGATGTTTTCAAAGTAAATGGATAATCGTTTTTAATAATCGTGATATCAATTATTGACCCAAATAATCGAGATTATGATTTTTGCCATAATCGAGCAGCCCTACAAGGAGGCAATTCATTCAGGAAACGGTTGACCAATCATAACAGAGCCAGCCAGCTAACCAATCAGAGCAGACTGGGCTCTGGTTTCAGACAGAGGGTGAAAAGAGGTGATGCAGCACAGGCAGTATGAGAAAAATAGAGACCTTTTTGAACATTAAAGCACGTAAATAAAACATGAATAACAGAAAAAGCACAAAATACAAATATGAACCTGAAAATGAACATAATTCGTCCTCTTTAAAACAAAAGTTAAAAACTGTCTTTTACGCTACACTGCACACACAAGTTTAGAAAGACATTCATTCATTATCATCCTGATTTATTCCTCACCGTTCTGGTTGAACATTCGACAGCTCTTTAATGTGGTTTCATATCCGACCACCAACTCCTCTATTATTGCCACCTGCAAAGAGAAAGAGGACAGAGTACATTAGATCACCTGCAGAAACCTTGGGAATAACTTAAATCTAGCACACTAGAATCTTTCCTTCAGATTGACCTCGCTTGCTTCAGTGCATTATGTAAGCTGGTTCAAAGTGAGGTGAGGATAAAAGTGTCTTTGTGATTTAGATCAGTTATCCGACATGTCTTGCAGCAGTGCTGTCACCTTTTCTTTGTTGATGTACAGCGACTTCAGGGTGGTGAAGACGGGCGGGCAGCCCTTACTGAAGTTCAGCCGCAGATACCTGTCCAGACACTCTCTGAACTTCTCGCCTGCAGAAAAAAATTAAACGAGATGGAGAAGAACAGAAAACTGCACTTTGCAACACACGGGAAGAAAATAAGGTAATCACTTAAAGTGGAATAAAAACTGGGAACACAAACAGAGTGGTGCAGTGATGACGTTACCATCTCAAAAGGCTCCCTTGACTAAAAGTGGGATTTTTCAAATTTTGGAGCAATGAAGAAAATAAGATATTTGGCAAACACGTTTATTATACTAAAATGTTTTGTTCAGCAGGATAATCTAAATGTATTAACACTACTTATGATTTTTAAAGCATAACATTTAATGGGCAGAAGTAAAAAGCTAACGGTTAGTTAAAAACGACATCATGGTTGCGAATCACCACTGTTAAGCTAAAGGCAACTGATGTTTAGTCGTCTAATTTATTTAGTATCTTACGTTTTTATGACACATAGGAACTTCGGACATTCAATGTGGTGTGATAACTGATGTATTATATGTCGTAGGACAAAACCTGAAAAATGTTTTAACCACAGACCTTATTTTAGTAATCTAACCACCAACAATACAAACAAAAAAAAGCCGACTTTTGCCCTTTTCAGACCAACGCGGTTCCAGGGCCGGTTCGGAGCTAGAGCCTGATAAGCACCGTTTTTTCCTGTTCACACCGCAGCGGAGCCGCCTCTTTTCCCCGTAAACCGGTTCTTACTTAGCACGAAAAAAGTAAGAAGCAAGAACCGTATACGTCACACTTAAGTCGGAGGGGGGCGAGATTAACCTGAGCTAACAGTTTATGGCGAGAACGGCAAATAAAAGTAGTAACAAGCAGTAGCGCTGAGCAAAGTGACTAGAAGGCAACCACACACTTATAAAAAAAAAACACACTTTATAAAGTCAGGCAACACTAACCAGGCTTAGTGTGATTCTGTTTATTTGTACCTTACTTTGACCATCCGTTCGCTGTTATTGATCATTGTGGAGAGCAGGCAGACGTTTTGTATTATAGCAGCTATCGGATGGAATCAATACATGGGCTGCACAGGTTGTCATGTCCGACTATCACAAGTAGAATCATAATGAAAAATACGCCGGTAAAATGTGCCTGTAGAAAACGGCTTATGCCACAATAGGATAGCAACAAATAGTAAAGATAGTCAGTTTAGCTTCGGTTGCTATGCTAACATCACCCATTTTATACCAGAGAAACTTTCATAACAGCTTTGTGATGCCAAACAGCGTCAATTCAGACTGACACACATTCACTTAAGGGGAATTGGGGATATGTATCAGCTGCTTGTGTGACAGTCAGACAGTGAAGACTTTACAGCGGCCGCTGCCGTGAGTTAACGGGAGAATAAACTCCCGTGGAAGAGCAGCCAGCACTGCAGCGGTCGGTAAATGCCGCTGAAACACATTAATAAACAATGAACCACGGCACTCTGGAGAAAAGTATAAGGTTGGAGAAGTAGTTATTTAATTTAATCTGGCTTCGTATGATTAAAAGCAACACGATCATCGACCCAACGCATCCCCCATTGTTGTTGTTGTGAGCGCCGTTGGGGAGAAAATCAGCGACGTAAACGGTGACGTCATGACGCAGCCGCGGCAGCACCAGTCGGGCTCTGGGCGGTGTGAACAAAACGGGGGCTGAAAATAAAAACCGGTTCCGAACCAGAAGAGCGCAAGCACGGAGCTAGAACGGGAACCGCCTTGGTGTGAAAGGGGCATTAGAGACAAGGGAACTGGAAGTTCTAAAATGCTAACTCCGTTTTTAGAACTCATTCCTGCACCACGAATACAATCAAACAACGATAGCTTTAGTGAGCTGTTAGCTAATTATTTTATTGCTTGGACATGGATGACTGAAGTCACTGTTGAAGTTGATAGGAGATTATTGGCCTTACCCAACAGGAAGTTAAGGGGGAGCCGGCGAGGAACCAGTCCTTTGGGGAACTTCTCCCAGGCGTCTTCATAGATTTTTTGTCTCTCTTCTATACTGCCTGGAGTTAAAGAAAAATGTAATGTTGACAATTGTAGCTTTTACAATGAATGTGGACATTTTAATATTCCGTCAATATGGTGTTTCAAACAGAAAGCATAAAGTGTCCTACCTGGCTTCAGGGCACCTTCCAAGCCTCGGTAATAGGCCCAGTTCTCGGGATTCCTCTCCTGCAGACGGCGGTAGACTTGTGTCGCGTCATCGAGACGCTCCAACTTCAACAGGATCTCTCCTATAGAAACATGACAGAAGGGTGTTAAAGTACATAAAAAGGGTCACAATATGTAGGATTTCCACTGACAACTCAACGTTAAAGCTGGAGAAATGTATGAAGTATGAATTGGAATCTTGGAAAAAAATAAAAAATGCCATCTTCGTATCACTTCTCACAGGCAGCAGATAAAACGTGTTGCCTGTTCTGTTGAGCATTAAGATATCTCATAACATGAACAAACATCATTTTGTGTTTTCGTCCATGCTGATTCTGCTCAAGCTGTATATTCAAAGTCTGAGTAACAGAGTGCTTTGCAAGGTTATCTCGTCAAATTGCCCATCATGTTTCATATTCTTTGCCAGAACAAAGGGCAGAGATTGCTGAAGGACTCAATGTAATGGGCATATCGACTATTGTATAATAACATTATTAGTGCGAATGCTGTGCAACAGCATTCCACTATAGTTCTTCAAATCTTTATCTATATATATCTATATATATCTATATATATATCTATCTATATATATATCTATCTATCTATATATATATCTATATATATAGATATATATCTATATATATATATATATATATATATATATATAGATATATATATATCTATATATATATATCTATATATATAGATATATATCTATATATATCTATATATATATATATATATATATATATATATATATATATAGATATAAAGATTTTCAGCACATGATGGGAAACTTTCATATATTAATATTTTATACTGAAATATTCAGCTTTTTAAACTCTTTTTTTTAACATGTAACTCAATGGGAGGAACCTTCAAATCCTCTTTTACCTACACCTTACGCCAAATGCTTCTCCTTCCACATACTTTCAGCTAGAGACTTAATTCCAACTTTAAAATGATCACAAGACCTTCAGCTATCAAGTTCTTTAGATTTTTCATATATGTTATACTTTTTGAGATATTTAACTTAGTTTGGAGCTTGGTAAAGAGGCCTTCTTCAGATTTTAACATTAGTGTGTATTGCGCAGCTCGTTGTCTAGAGTGCTTTGATCTCAAAACAGAGTGGAGGAGTGCTTGAAATTCGCCCAAAAATAAACCTGCCATAATTCCCAAACCCTACACTCCTTGGACATCATCATGAAAAACGTAGGAAAACCTCTCCTACGTTGAAAAAATAAATAAAAATGAAGCAAAAAAATTAAACAAAATGTCTCTTGAGGGCATGAAGTGACAAAAACGTTCAATGTGTCTCCATTAACCTGTTAACCCCCGAGCCTGTTTTCCAGGTCTCAGGCTCGAAAATGACATTCCCAGAACAAATGACCATAACTTCACTTCTAAAAGGGGAAAATTAATAATCTTTTTTCTCAAAGCAATGATAAACCTGTGAGTTGGATGTAGAAGAGTCAGAATCAATATAGATGTTTTTTATTTTAAAGTAAATTCAGATTGAACATAGTAAAAAAATGTAAATTATTGTGTCCGTCCAAAAAAAACACATTACTTGTAGTCAAAACCACCTTTGAAAGGTAGACTAAAAGCTTTAGGAATCCAAACTATAACATATATTAAGTACCCTGTATCAAGATTGATGCAAAACAAGTGAAATTTGACCTTTTTAGAGAGATTTAGCAACAAGGAAACCACTTCTGGGGTCATTTGGGTGGATTTGACCTATCTCTGGCCCCCCTTGGTCGATTTTGATGGTTGACATCTCTTTTTAACCGCTAGAGCCAATGGAATCGAGGGAAAGTTCCACATACACACACACACACGTTACCAAATAAGAAGTGAGAGTGACACGTAGCCAAAACCGGAGCTGCGACACACTCTGGTAATGTGGAGTTACCATGGCAACGCATCCCTCGCCAAAAAACACGATGTCGCTGTAACTCAAATTGACACGGTCCGATCGCCCCCCAATCTTCACTTGTATATCAACGGTCCATGCCTTAACAGCTCTACGCCAAATCTGACATCTCACCATATGCCGTTTCCATGGAAACGCATCCCTCGCCAAAAAACACGATGTTGTCGTAACGCCTAAGAAAAGGGTCAAAACAGCACCAGACTTCAGATAATGGTTAATGGTCCAGCCCTCAACATGTCTATGTGCCAATAGTGAGTTTTCCTCAAAAGCTGTTGCCATGGCAACGCATCCCGTGCCATAAAACACGATATTGCTATTTATGACCATTTTCATAGGAGTTATCCTATGAAAATGGTCAAAAAGTGCTCAAACTTCACGTGTGCTAACAGTCCAGCCGTGAAGACATCTACGTGACAGTTTTGAGATTTCTTCAAATGCCGTTGCCATGGCAACACAATGCTCACCATGAAACACGGTTCTCATAACTTCAGTGAAAATGCTCCAAACGGCCCAAAACTTCACAGGTTTGGTAACGATGCAGCCATCAACACATCTACACGTATTATGGGGTTTCATCAAATGCCGTTGCCATGGCGACAGATCACTCGCCATCAAGTTAGTTAAAAAGTTTGCAGTTAAAATATTTTGATGCTTTTCAAAGCCTTTTTACTTTCTTTTCTTCTCTTATCACACATTCCTTCACTACTACCATAGACTGTATATATAAATGGACGTAGTTTCCGTGACGTCACCCATAGGATTCTGCAGAGTGGCCGAGAAGCCCTTAGTAGGCGGAGTCGGCCACTAACCTCTCGACAGTTACGTCAGAGTCTAACTCCCACCTGATCCAAATAATGGCAAAGAGGCAGAGCTGAGGCGGGACCTGCTGCCACCGAGCTGGAAGTTCCAGAGCTAGCTCAGAAGCTAAGCTAACATGAAATACATGCATACCAAGTTACTGCGTGGCACTTTGGTTTTGATAAAACAGTGTAGTTCCACTATATAAACGTTACATTCATAATCAAACGAGACGATCTGCAAGAGAATTAGCTATTTTTTGTTATTCTTAATGCTTGTCATTCACACGTTAATAAAATAAAATAAGTACCGATACATAGCAGAACAATTGTGGCGATGTTCAGCTTAATAAGCCTTGTTCAACATAATTTATTTAGCCAATACTACAGCGGGCTGCAGGCGAACCAAGTCCGCGTTTCGCTGCATTCCTTGATCTCCAGTTATAACGCCGGACTCCGCCCCGGAGCTAACGGAGCCACCACTGGGATAATAGGGTCCCCTTTTAACATTTGCTCCCATTTAGCATTATGGGCGTCATAGCCATAGACTATAAAAGTCTTACCCAAGGCTGAATCATAAACTAAACTGTATGTATGTATGTATGTATGTATGTATGTATATATATATATATATATATATATATATATATATATATACACACATGTATAAAGGGTTACGTCCTTAGCTGGCTAATAAGCTATATAACAAGCTAAGCTAACAAGCACACAAACACCTGATAACGGGGTTAACATGTATAATATTATCATTTTAGACTTCTTGGAAGTTCTGTTAGTACATTCAACCGCACAGCACGACATTTTAATTGTCTGGTATTTGTAATAACATTCCCTAAAAGGCACCATCACCACGAACACGGCTAAAGGGTCAAGTACAGTAACTACAACTAGCTAATGTTGTAGCCTAGCAGAGTGGACAAGTTGCTGTTAGTTGACAGTGAGGCACGTACCTGTCCATCAAAGTGACCACGCCCTAATTTATGTAAAAACTTTAAGACCTAATATAAATAAAAGGGTCGCGTTATAAAACAATTCACTCAACAATTAATAATCATTAAGGTGGAATCTAACTATATCTCGAATACATTTTATTGCATCATGGGGTAGAAACATGTTTATTTCTGCTGTAAAGTTGGGCATTTTAACATGGGGGTCTATGGAAATTCATCCTTTCTGCAGTCATCGCCTATCGGCCAATAGATGAACTGTAGTTTGTGGCACTTCCTTATTGACCTCCCGGCTCTGCCCCAGAGTTTGCCGCTTGACTACTATCTGATATTGAACTCCTTCAGCCTACTTTCAGCTACAGAAACCATTCAACTATTACATTATTCAGCTATTTCAGGACATTGAGGCTATACATTTTGTTGTTTATACCTTTTAAATATTAAGCTTCTTCACCATTTGTCCTACTCTTCCAGTTTAACATTTCAATTTCAAGTTTTCAACAAAGTCATTGCAATGCATTTGAGCTGTACACATTTTGATTCAAATAATTTCACTTTTCTGCATTTCTCCACTATGTTCAGCAACACACTTACTTGGTTTTTGTAGCTAAAAGCAGCTACAGAGACCATTCAACTAATAACATATTCAGCTTTTTCAGCTAAATTCAGCAACAAATATACACAGTTTGCAGCATTCGCACGCATTTTCAGCAGGAAATGCATTTTCTAGTTACATCTCATGTTATTACTTGGATTACGCTTTTATCCACCGCAACCTAAATACACTTCAATACCGTGGACATGCCATTCAGAGCAATTAGGGGTTGACCAAGGACACTTCTACATATAGACTGCAGGGGTTGGGATCAGCCACTGACCCTCTGATTGGTAGATCAGCACTTTGAACCCCTGAGCCATTGCCGCCTCAGTAGGTGTACAACATGCACCCAGGAAGTGCGCCGGACGCTGGTGGTAAAACTTCTGTGTCAGTCAATGACTTACATAGGGAAAGAGACGTATGTATATCAGCAAATACTTTTTTTGAAGTAAATTAGCTACCCAGTACCAACACTTTTAAAGCCTTTATTAAACCATTAGGGTCTTAAGGTTGTAAAATGCGCTAATAGTCAAATCCAGAGTTGTTTCCCTCTCCATTTACCCAACTGAGCAGTGAGAGTGCGCATGCTCTATGAGCCCAGATACGATTACTTTTGCCCCTCGAGAGGCAGGCCATTTTGGCTTTACGCACCACTGAGCAACTTTCATAGGAATGGCGTCCCGGATCCAACCACCACCCTTCTTTGTTGGACAGCTTCTCTACCCCACTAGTAAACACGCGTTTACCCTGATATGCTCGTGTTTTAACAAGAGACTTCCCAGGTGAGACCTCAGTGACCCACCTCGTGTCTCCTCCACAGCCAGTTTGTCACAGATCTGCTTCTCATAGTTGTTCAGATGCTCCAGGGCCTCCTTGTAGAGGCCTGCCTCCCTCAGCACCTGGTTCTGGTACAGCAGCAGCTCGCTGTACTCGTAGTCTACTTTGTCCGGAGACGTCTGGAGAAACAAATGGGCGTGAAATCAATATTATTAACGGTTGCCTAGTCACGCCAACCTGTTGTGTAATATGTAATATATATATATTAATATGTAATATATATATATATATATATATATATATATGGCACAAAGACAGGAAGCAGAATGGTCTTATCAGGAGCGAGCCAGAGAATGGGAGCTTTATTGTAGTAATATATTTAAAACCTTTGGGAAAAAAGACTGCCAGGCTTAAAAGCACATATTAAAGTCTTTGATCAATAATCAAGTTTGATAGATGTGATGACAAAATGACAAGAAAACCACAGTTTTTTTTAGACACAAAGGCTTCAGAGGTTCACCAGTGGGGCATTTACTCATGTATATAATGCTGTAGATCAAAAACGAGAAATCTCCTAAACCAACTCATCTCTGGGTTTAGGACTCATTCTTGCACCACTCCATTGGGTCTAACCTGTTGTGTTTTCCGGAACTCCTCAATGATCTTTGCGGCCATCTCGTAGTCTTCCAGGAGGTGATAGGCGATGGCGTAGCCGATCCAAGAGGCCCGCTGTGCTGGACGCAGCTGCAGCAGCTGGTACCGTGTCTCCTAAAAAAGAAAGAAAGATATACAAATGCAGGTTTATCTTGCCATGCTTACCTTTGATCTTCATACCTCTTACTAATAAGCATCTAAATCCCAGGCTGTGTCCCGCGAGAGCTGTTCTACATTGTGAAGCCTGGCTGTAACCTGCTGATGTGCTCAGTCCTCCCCTAAATCAGTGCCAAACTTGGTCCTGGATAAGGCAGAGCGACAGATGGGAGTGTGTATTCCACAAAGTTCTTTTATTCTCTTATTACAAAGTAAAGTTGCCAAGTAAGGGATAATGTGAAACGAGGTGGTCATTAACTAATACAACATTTTAAGCCACTTAAATTAGACTTTCACTAACTCTCGTGTGCAAGTGAGCCATGCGTATTGGGTGTGTGTGTACTTGTATCCTGAGGGAAACAGGGAAGGAGCCTGGGAGGAGCAAAAGTGAAGTGCCAAGGCAAGTTTACATAAAAATGTAAAGCAATCTGAAAAGTCATTTTTGAGCTGTGTTCCCTATACATTTTGATGAGGTCACTAGAATGATGCTACGATCATAAGCATCACAGGATCAAATCCGAAAGCACCGCTCATGAACCCCCTGTCAGCTCACCCTGTAGCCCTCCAGGTCTCTCATCTGGATCTGCAGCAGGGACAGGTCTCGGAGGATCTGCAGGTTGTCCTTGTCCCACTTCAGAGCGTTGCGGTAACACTTGATGGCTTCGTCATACTTCTTGTCCGAGCGCTGCAGTAGGCCGTAAACGTGCCAGCCTGGTGCACGAGGAGTTAAGGAATAATCTCCATTGATTCTGATGAAATCAAACTATTATTAAAAAGGTTATAAACAAGAGTTGTGATCACTAATGAAGCTCTCCTGGTTAGAGTGGACAATCAATTTGACTTAAACCTCTGTATATAATGTAATCTGTTGCAGTGTCTGTATTGTAGCACAATGTGTAGATTATAACTTCAACTTCCTATGTTTATATACATAATTGTATTATATTTGATCATTTACATGACATTTTACATGAACTACGTTTTTTTTAACAGATTATTTTATTTTTCCTTTTAAAATTGAGCAACTGTCACAAAACCCAATTTCCACCGGGATAAATCAACTATTCTTATTGTGTTAATCACTTCATAATGATTATTTAAAATAAAAGAAATACATTTTCACAAGTGATATTATGCGAACAAATTGCCCACATTTTTTTGTCTAAATAGAGCTTGACCTAATCAACATTTTTTTATTATTATATGGTTGAATTTAACTTTAATCTATAAATAGGTCAGAAACATTTCCATCACACTTCCCTGGAGGACCAATTGATCAAAATGTCTTCTGATTAATATTAATGTTGATTTGCTGTCTAGTCTCTACCACAGGTTCTTAAGCTAAAGAGTGACTGGTGAGGTTAAAAACGACAGCAATGTGTTTCCTGCTCAGAGAAGAGTTGACATTGGGATTAGGCGGCCCAGCACTATCTGCTGGAAGAATGAACAGATTTCCCTTCGGCCTGGGAGTCACAGGGAGAGACAGAAAGAGAGAAAGAAAGAGAGCAGCGAACAGAGGAAGTGCTGACTCTACTTCACAAAGAACAGAGCTCCACAATGTGTGGCATCTCAAGGTCCTTCATTTTACAAAAGACACACGAGCTCATGGTTTTACCCACTTAACCTGGAGCATATCTACTTTAATAACACACAAATGATGACGTGGGTAAGGATACAGACGTGGCTCTTGAGGTCATTGCGCAGGCCTCTTCTCACCAGGTCGTAGGCCTCCTCCTTCTTCCCCAGACAGTTCAGGGTCAGTCCCTTCATTGCCAGGGTCTCTGCAGGGGGACAGTGAAACACCACACAGTGAGAAATATGGAACATAATATTGCCTGCTTTTCATCCATCTATCCATTCAAACGTCTGATGCTTACCTCCATGCTCTGCAAACTTGGGGTTGGACAGGATTTGTTTGCAGAACTTGAGCCCGTTTCTGTACTGCTTGTGTTCGTAACATCGCTGTCAAAGGAAGGAGAAAAAAAGTCACAATAAGCCAAGAGAAGTAGAGTGACATTTCAGAGAGACAGAAGTAATGTAATACTCAAAGAAACTAGCTCAGTAGCAAAAAGGAAAAACCATGAAAGACACATTATTTCACTTTTTGTGTGCAAAAGAAACTCCCATTGGAGGGAACTTTGGGATTTTAGCCTTTGCAGACCATTAACATGCACAAATACCTATATAACACACTACAACAAAGGGAAACCCCAATAACGCATAATAGGGCCTCTTTAAAATACCATATTCAAGTCTTGAAGTAAGAAGTTTAAGAGTTGTGGTCACAAATTCAGAGCTGGTCATAGTTGTTCCCCAGCAACAATATTATAACATCCCCAGAACATAATCAGACAATTACTCCAGAATGATTACATACAACTCTGCATGTGAGCTTTTATCAGGCTTCTGCACACAGCCAAGCTTAAATGTTGAATCAGATGTTTTACTAAGACACCCACCACAGTATTACACCACTTTGAAGGAATTACCAGCTTTTTGCCCTTGAGTTATATTTAGTATGCAGTTGCGCAATCAGTAGTATAGCACCTCTCTTTTTAAGCTGATCTCCGAGTGTGTGTGAGAGCAATAGGAAGAGTAAAGTTGGCAGAGCGCATTTTGTTGTCCCACTGCACTAATGGTGAAAAAATGACGACATTATTGAACAAGGTCTGTTTTGAAATTGTGCGTTCATTCAGTCTGTCAGAGACTTTATGAGTCAGCATACCATAATAATCTAGTGAGGCTGTCCAACAACATCATCTCTGAACCAAACCATGTTCTGAACAGCGAATATGAATTGTTGCCATCTAAATCGGAGATACAGGGTCCCTCGTTTTAATAAAGTCTGACGGAAGCAGTCCTTTGTGCACCAGTAAATTCTAACAGTAAATACAGAGCTCAATCAAATGCACGTTAAAGGGTCTTTGAGCATGTTTCTCTCAGTGATTGTGATGTTGTGTTAAATGTTTGTTTTTCTTGTATTGTGTCTTAATATCTGTCCTTGTTAATGTTGCAAATGGAGCTGCTGTGACGCAAGCCAAATTTCAGACTTGATCAGACCATTAAAAAAGGTCCCATGTCATGGCCATTTCTACTGATCATAATTCCATTGTTGAGGTATACTAGAATAGATTTACATTGTGCAATTTTCCAATGTGTATTCACTCTGTCCTAAACGGCTTGTTGGAGCTCCTGCCCCCCCCCTCCCTGTGAGCCCAGTGTGCTCTGATTGGTCAGCTCGCCCACTCTGTTCTGATGAGTCCACCACCGTTACAGCGGAACATCAGTGATTATGTGTTACAATGGCGTTAGCAACCAGTAATGACACCAGTGATGACAAACAGATGAGAATGCTGCGTGGGGTCTGGGTGTCGTGTTGGCGGGACATTGCTGCTGTGAGGAGCGGACAGTGTGAGCTGGATTACTAGTGTCGTTTCCTTGTTGCTGCGTGGGGTCTGCGAGACAGCACGAAACTGAGCCTGAACTCAGCCTGAGCACCATGGACGCGGGAAGGGGGGGTGCTGAGGGGGCTGCAGCACTCCCCCCATTATTTACTTTTAACCCAATTTGAAACAAGAGAAAATGCTGTCAGCAACGTCTACAACTAGTGTCAGTTCAGGAAGGCACACATGCATTATGCACTAATACAGATGCCAGTATGCATACATACTTTAGTGGTACATTACATATGTAAATATAGTAAGATAAACACTATTAGCTGGGCTTATTCAGCATGTTCTCTACCTCATCCAAAAATAACTTTACCCCCCCCAGAGTTATCACAGAGATTCTGCCAGAGTGCTGGCTGGAGGCTGCTGGGCTCGCTGCAGTGAGTGTAAACGGTAGATTGAGGGAAAACATTTTCCAAAGGTACTGCTACAATCCCATCATGTGGGAAGGAAGTCGGTGTGGAAGAGGAGAGTCTCTAGGTTACAACTCATAGGAAGTGCTTGGAAGTTCATTGAAATGTTATCTAAATCACAATATGTTCCAGTGAAATATCCAAACTTGTAAAGAGGCCCAATTATGCTATTTATCCGGTTTATATTTGTATTTTGTGTCTCTACTGTGTCATGTCTCCATGCTTTAATGTTCAAAAAGGTCTTTATTTTTCTCATACTGCCTGTGCTGCAGACCCTTTGTCTCAAACCAGAGCCCAGTCTGCTCTGGCCGGCTCTGTTGTGATTGGTCAACTGCTTAGAGTTGTCCCACCACTTAGCCTATCACGTACAATGTGTTGGAGCGCTAGCCAACAGAAGCACAAGTGTAACATATTGTTACTATGTTTCGGAAGTAAACAAAGGAGTCCAATCGGGGAGAGTGCATTTGAAGATAAATACCCTCTTGCGGGAACACAGGGATTTTAGCCCTTGCAGACCCTTTACATCAGTGTTTCTCAAAGTGTGGTCCGCGGACCACTGGTGGTCCGTGAGTGCCCCCTAGTAGTCCGTGAGTATATTGGTAAAATTTCACATTTTAAATAAATAAATGTAAGTTTAACGCACTCTCGAGGGAATATCTCCGCAATGCAGCGAGCTTAAGTTTCACTTTCGATTGCATGATATAGCCCAGCGCAACACCTTCATCGCACATGTTCCCACTTGTTTGTACCATTTTCAGGCGATTTGTAATCTGTTCTAGAAAAACTATGTGTTTTTTTTTAGATTTCAAGAAGCGTATAAAACAAACAATGGATGTCTTTTATGAACATGTATCCATGCTGAAAGTAGATTTAGATGTGTTAGGAGTGAGATAGAGATTATTATCTAATATATGCATCCAATGAAGCATTGCATGAAGTCTGTTGATTAATCAGAGGCTGTTGTTGGGGCTGCATAAACGTTTTCTTATTTTAGTTTTGTAGGCAGACCATGCAGGCCAGCCCGATGGTCAATAAGGTTCATGTTTTAATAGCATTTTTACAAAAAAAGCCCAGGCGAGCCTAACATGTGAAAAAATGGCTTAGACCTCAGAGAGTTACATTTGGGCCTGCAACCATAGTTTTACTGTATTTTGTTTAGAAAATCGACAGCGGAGGTTTGTGTCATACTACATGCGGTGTATTTTGCATTTCTCTCCGTAGCCAATGATCTGTGAGTCTGTTGGCTCGGAAATAAACTCCGTAATAAATGTGGTCTACATTTCATAAGAGGTGTAAAAACCTGTGAGCATTTTAAATCGCATTTGAACGAAATGCTTTAATAATCTGTATTTGTATTGTTGATTTAAAAGGCCCATGTCATGCTTTTCCGGTTATTACCCGTCCCCTTGTGTGTTATGAAGGTTTTTATGCATGTAAACGGTCTGCAGAGTCAAAAACCCTCAAAGTATACCCTGTAGCGAATAAAACTCTAACACAGTCTATGCTGCCCCAAAACGCCTCATTGGAGATTACTCATTTTCCATTGTTTACTTCCGGGTACTCTGACGTGGGGATACCCAGAGGCCACACCCTCTGCCAGCATTTCACGAAACAAAGCTTCCCAAACCTTTCAGCTATTCATGCCGAATATGTATAGCGTAGGGCACTGAAGAACGATGCTGTTCCTACTTTGTTTGGACCAGAGGGAGATTCGGGTACACAACCTGTAAGTATTCATTGTTGTTTGTGTATTTATGATGTTTAAAACAAACAAGGTATCTACCACAACTGTTTAAATGGGTAAACGTTTTTCGGGCTGCTAAATTGGGATCGCGGAGAAATGCTCTCCGCAGACCCATACTCACAGCGTTATAAACCTTTTTCTTACTCAATATCAAGCCACACTTATTGTTTTTACTTCGGCTCTGAGTGTTTGTGTGTGCTCAGGATGAGTTTCGCTTGTTCTCGCCGACCCGGAAGCCTGTCCGCTCCTCGCAGCAGATCGCAGCAACGAGCCTCTCAACGTCCCGACCAATCAGAGCACACTGGGCTCACAGGGAGGGGGGGGCAGGAGCTCCAACAAGCCGTTCAGGACAGAGAGTGAATACCGGTGAATACACATACTTTACAGAGATGTTGTATGAGAAACCAATGTGAGTTTGGAAAATTGCACAGTATAAATCTATTTTAGTATACCTCAACAATGGAATTATGATCAGTAGAAATGGCCATGACATGGGCCCTTTAATGTGTGAACGAGGCGATATAGAGAAGGTTACGCTGTCATTATTAAGCTGTAATTTGTTATATACTGTTGGAGTGGTAAGCAGGCCTATTGTTTTTGGACATTTGTGGAGTTAGTTAGGTGGTCCGTGAGTGTTTTTTTTATTGGTTAAGTCCTTTGTATGAAAAAGTTTGAGAAACACTGCTTTACATGCACAAAAACCTTTATAATCTACTACAGGAAAGGGAGAAAAAAAGCACAATAGCGCCTCTTTAAAAAATCCCTCCATTAGTGAGCTTGAAGAGAAATGAGGCGTGGCTGATCCCAACTCATTGCCCTTCAAATTCAAATGCAGCACAAAGGTTGAATTTCAGACTGATGAAATACACATTTTTACTGAGATTATTGGTGCAAGGGCCAACTTTAGGTTAAAGGCCCTGACACACCAGGCCGCCCAAACTCAATTTGGTGTGTCCCGCACCGTCGGCCGCGACACGCCTTATTTGGCCTTTCATGGCCGACGCACGGCCGATTCAACATGTTGAATCGGCCGTGCGTCGGCCACAGGCAGCCGGACAAAGAAAACACTCTGATTGGCTGTTCAGCTAGCAAATCAGTGCATGAGAAGCGACACGGTTGCTTGAGAATGTCTTCCACAAGCAACACTCCAATGGCTGATAGCTCCAGTACCGCACGACAACATGTTTTCGATGGACGAGAGTGAAAATGGAACGCACACGCTATTTGTTGTTTGTTTATATCACGTAGTCTGCGGCGACGCAACAGGCGGCGTCGGCGAGTTCTCTGGTGACTGCTTGGTGTGTCAGGGCCTTTACACTAACTGTAGGGGAAAGTGTTGCCCCCCTACCACAACAGAACACAATGTAAACTCATCAAACTCCACTGCCATGCAGAAGTTGGAGACCTGCCAACTTCTAATAATGCATTTGGGCACTCGGTCTGGGAAAGCAAAAAATAAAAATGGGGTGTGGTCCACTTCTGACTACAGCCAAAGAGAAAACGGCTTAAAATCTCATACTATATTATCACATCCCCAGTGCAGAAAGGGTAATATAACAGTACATTTATTCTGTGTTTTTCCTCATACACGTTACAATGTAACCAGACTAAATCTCTTTATGCCATTTTTAACTGCAAAGACTTGAACTTAAAAAAAGTGTTTTGCGATCCACAGACTTATTGTAGATAATATTCATGCAGAGTAACGCAAGACTGTGGCACCTGCAGTACCATACATTACAAAAAAACTGTGACATGTACAAATGAAAACAACTCAGAAATAAGAAGTGCAGGCTTTTCTTTCACTTTGATAAATGTTTCCTGCATTATTGTCCAGACAAAACAAATATTGCTTTAGTTGTCATATGCCAAGAGAATGAAAATACACAAATTCTGCACCACCTGGGTTACACAAGAAATTAACTATAATTTAAGTTTTAATTGGAAAAATGCACATTTCAGACTACACAACAGTGTGGTGCAACAACGGTTCAAGGAAAATAAATGATACCTCTGAGGTATGCGTGAAAGAAAACAGACCAACTTTTCAAGATCAAGTGCAGGTTACAGGTCTGTTTGAATGAAAGAATGTCCTCTGCCAATCTGCTGATAAACAGCCACACACTGCTAGCAGATCCCCTGCCTTTCAAAACAATGAATCTGGAAAGTGACGTTAATGGGGTCGCTGCCACACTTTTTGGAAAGTATGTAGCTAGCTTTCCATGCAGAGATGCTTAACATCATACAGCAAAATACGCACGGAAGAATACTTGTTTACTGAGTTCTTAGACAGCTCCCAAACTGTCATTTCCAATTGCAATAAAGCTATGCTTACACCACACATGTTCAACGATTCCTCTGACCCAAATCAAACTGTGTGCAGTACTTGGACACAAACATGATAGTGAGGGATGGATGGATGTAGCTAGCTGCCAGAGCACAGCAGGCCTGAGGCACCTACAGATTTGCTGACAGTCACACCGGTCCTTCGTTTTCACACATGCTCTACTATTTTGACCTTAGTCAAGCTAGACCGGTTAGGGTAAGGTGTGCATCCAACGTCATCCTATGATGACAGATTAAGAGTGACAATTAGCCTAAACTACCTAAAGTCTGCTAAACCAAGATATCCAACACTAGTTGCTAGCGTTAGCCGATTAGCTAACGTCAAATGGCCAGCCGGTGTGCTGAGCTTGCATAGCTGGATAGCATGGCCCTCATACGACACAAGTCAAACTTAGATATATATTCGGGTAAAACACCTGCTATGCAATAATATAACAACAAACGTTGAGCCAAACCGCTATAAGAGGTGGTTTGAAGAGTTAACTAAAGAGCCCACACGACCGTTAAACTGGCTAGCATGTTAGCATCGTGGAGGGTAGCGTCAAGTTATGGCTTGTTGTGTGTGACAAGCGGAGCGGCCTCCTGCAACTAACTAGCTGTCCGGCTATTTAAAGCCGTACCAATTTGCTTATTAGTGAGACTGCATTTTTTTTAAACTTCAACATATCTGTCAAAATCACTACAAAGTCCAGAACAACCATTTTAGCTTCACGTTACGTTGACAGCGCATGTCAGGGCCGGGCTAGCTAGCCCATTCAATTATGCCATTTTGCTAACACACTGACGCTAGCGCTAGCAGCCGGGAGCTACACTGGCACACAGAGTGCCGCCGATTAAGCTTTTGACCCGCCAGTGTTCTGCATTAACGACACATAACGTTATGCAACGCTTTAATAATCAACTCACCAAAATCCTCTTGAAGAGAGCGTTCTCTTTCGGCGGCAAAGTAACTGTCGGCATTGTTGCGGTTGAGATCAGTTTCTCCCTCGACCTCAGCACATGTAGCTAAAGTTAGCCCGGGTAGTCAAGAGGAGTAGAGCTGAGTGATGGCTCGACTGCTCGCTTCAGCCGCTCGATTGCTCCGTCTCCTCTCACTTCTTCCTCACGTGATGACGGAAGCTCCGACACCTTTCAAAATGGCGGCGGGGGCCTTTTATGAGACGGACCCTGGCAGATTGGGATAACCAGGGGATAACTAATGTCAAATATCCGCTTCAAACATGTTTTTCAGACATATAAAATACTCTGCGTACATTAAAAAGTTGTATTTGATGGGTTTTTTTCCCCCACGTAAAGTACAACTACCTGGTTAAAAATAAAAATAGAAGCATTCCATCTAGCAATATGTAAACATTCAGAAACTTAAAATGTGCAAATGTTATGTATATTTCAAATCTATATATTTAAACGTGTCAGCAATAATGTCAACCTTTTAATATAGTATGCCAATCAGTGGCGTAACAAGGTTGTGATTGGCCCCGGTGCAAATATTGTTTTGGGCCCCCCCATCGCCCCAAACATAAGCGCACGCTCATGCGCTCACACACGCATGGACATACACTCTCTCTTGTCATTTCTCTTTTGAGCGCCGCTCTTGTGCTTTGGTTTGCTGTACATTATAAATGCAAGCTATTACATTTTGTATAATGCTGCTAGCTACAACTTGGTTACTTTGAAGACTGCGTGAACCGGTCAATGCCAAAATATATATATATATTTTTTTTTAATTGCATGGGCCCCTGGTCGGCTCTGGGCCCTGGTGTGTTGCACCGGCTGCACCGTCGATAGTTACGCCACTGATGCCAATACATACACAGTGTAGATTCAGCCCTATATTAGATATTAAATATGACAATTCACATTTGGGCAAAGACAAAGTGTTGATATGTTTCTGCGCTCAAGCCAGTTAAACAAAGAAGTTGAATGTGAATATTGGAGATATTCCAGGCGTAAAGAAAACTAGGTTCAGACATATCAAATGGATATCCAATTTGCAGAGGTGTGGACTTGAGTCACATGACTTGGACTCGAGTCAGACTCGAGTCACCAATTTGATGACTTTGGACTCGACTTGACAAAATCACAAAACACTTGCGACTCGACTTGGACTTGAACACCAATGACTCGGGACTTGACTTGGACTTGAGCCTTCTGACTTGAGGTGACTTGATCATTTAATTCAGGGGTCTCCAACACGCTGATCGCGAGATGCCGTCAGAAGAGCAGACTCCCGTCGGGGAGAGCAGAATCTTCAGCCGCTGCAACTCTTGCTGTGAATCCATGCAGGCAGGGGCGGGACTTTATTTTGATGAGCCACCATGCGGCCAATCATATGCGAGGACACACTGGGATCATACCATTATGTGAAAGAAGGGTGGAGGGCAGACGCTCGAAAGACAGCAGGTGTAGTGGTACAGGCCAGCTACACAGAGCGACGGGGAGACAGATTTAAATGCAAGCGCGTCGGAAAATGTCAAGAAATTAGCGAAAATCGAAAAAAGTAGCAGCATCTGGCTGCATTTCAATGATATTGGAGAAAGCAAAGCTGAGTGCAGGATTTGTCAAATGAAAATAACCTTGAGAGCAGGGTTTTTTTTTTTGGTAACCACTCAGGATTTATTGCCAGAGGTGGGAGAGGTTCAGATCTTGTACTTGAGTAAAAGTACCTGTGTGTAGGAATACTCGGTTACAATAAAAAGTCCTGCATTCAAAATGTAAAAGTACAAAAGTATTAGCATCAAAATATACTTAAAGTACCACCTGCAGAGGGATCTAGATTCAGGTGTTCTTTTCCCCATAGAGACCGCCTCGCTGCACATTATCCCTTGCATAAAGATAGGTTGTGGGTCCCTTATAACATGCTGTACACAGTGGAAATAAACATTCTGGTTACCTCAACATCAGGGATCTTATCCATTAAACTGCTTCTGAATCAAACCGTCACGGTAGCCTTACCTTACTGATCCCTCTTACAATAGAAGAAAACACGTTACTTTACCAGCAGAGAGAAAATAGATTATTAAATTATTAATGTGACTAATAAAGAGCAGTTTGATCATTAAGTATTATTCTGTTGATCGATGTCATTACATTTGTTGAAAAGCACATAAGGACTTGTTTAAGACTCGTTTTGTCAAAGTTTAGGACTTGGACTTGACTTGAACTTGCCCATCCTGACTTGAGACTTGACTTGGACTTGAGCGCAAAGACTTGAGACTTGACTCGGACTTGAGCGCAAAGACTTGAGACTTGACTCGGACTTGCAAAACAATGACTTGGTCCCACCTCTGCCAATTTGTCTCTCAGGGTTTCCGAACAGTAAAGTCCAACCTGTGTAAATAATCATAAAGGGAAAACAAGGTTCAAGGTTCAAGGTTCTTTATTTAGTCATACGAACATAGCTACAGTGTAGTTATGCCGATGAAAATCTTGTGTCACAGGCTTCTCCAACAGAGCAACACAAAACACAGATAAACAGAAAAAATATAGTGCAAGTAAATAGTAAATAGTAATACAAAATGAAAAATAGTTTTAAAAAAGTGAAATAGTGCAATAAGAGTCTATATGCAAGTTATTGAAATAGGATATATAGGTAAATAGATAAATATTTTTAAAATAATTTTTAAGTAGCAGCCAGATGAATATTAGGGATGTTGTTTCAACTGTTCAGGTGTTTAACAGATTTGGCTTCAATTAAATTAAATTAAATTCAAGTTTATTTATATAGCCAAAAATCACAAATCATATTTGTCTCAGAGGGCTTCACAAGTCAACAAACACCATTGGCAATGTAAAACAATGTAAAAACAACAAACGTATCTTACAAGATCAATGTGAAAATACCAACTTAAAAAGGAACATAACACAATGACACAAATACAGTTAGAGTACAATAATTAAAATTCCATAACACGAAGGCTCCATGAGGATGTATAAAAGGGGGTTTAAAACCAGTCTTAACTGTACGCTGCACCAAAGAGGAAAGTCTTTAACCTACTCTTAAATGTGTGGACACTGTCTGCCTCCCTAATCGTCACTGGAAGTTGGTTCCAGAGGAATGGGGCTTGGTAGCCGAAACTGTCCATTTGATTCTTCCGGGTACCGCATGATGTCATGCGGTACCCGGAACAAAATGGACCAATCCGGAAGAGCTATGGCCACACCCAGCGGCGCTGGCCGCACCCTCTGCCAGCCTAACATTTACTGTTGGAAGCTCTGGTTCAGTTCACAATCGATCCAGTCATGCCAATGCCAAGGACCTGTTTCCTGAAATGTGAGGAGAAATCTGAGCTGTTTGTCCTACCGACGGAAGAACCACGACGAAGTCAGTGGTTGAAATGTATTTTTAACACTGTTCCTTCAGAGGTTCGAAGAACGTTACTGTGTGCGCGGCATTTCACAGATGAAAGCTTCCAAAACATTGCCCAGTTTGAGGCCGGATATGCATAGCATTTGAAACTGAAGGACGATGCTATTCCTAGTTTGTTTGGACCGTTTGGAGCAGGGGAAGATTCGGGTACACAACCTGTAAGTTTGCATTGTTATTTGTGTATTTATCAAACAAGACTGTTTAAATGTGTAAACTGTGTCGGACTGCTAAGCCATTGACACAGTGCTAACTGTGCTAACTAAGTTGCTAGCGTTTCCATATATCAACTCTAATATCAGCAGATGGCCTTGCATACATGTATCTCATAGCAGGAGAATGTCTGCATTCACACACGAAATACTCATAGACAGTATACTCCGGGTGATTTGCCGTACGGTCAGTCGCGAAACGTAATTAGGCCTACATTATAGCTGGCGTAGCGTGTATGCTACCGAGCTAACCAACGGAGCTAGACATGGGTTTGCTCGGGAAAACATTTTTGTTATGCCAGCTACAATGAATGTAGCAGACTACCCGTATAAGATTGCAATTGTAAACACGTTCTTGCTAGCCTAATATGAATCACTAGCTTTTGTTCATAGTGGTTTTATTACACTAAACAAGCCCAGCTTACTGGGCTAACGACGTTGCTAGCGTTTAAATATATCAACTACAATGTCAGCAGATGGCCTTACATGTTTGTCATGGCAGGAGAATGTCTGCAGTCACACACGGAATACTCATACAGTATACTCCGGGTGATTTACCGTACATTGTGACAGTACATGTACATACTGCATGTATAGCTAACGAGGCTAGCTATACATGCTAGCGCAAAACAATGTATTCATGCCAGTTACAATGAATGACCGAACGTAGCAGACTACCCGTATAAGATTGCAATTATAAACACGTTATTGCTAGCCTAATATGAACCACTAGCTTTTGTTAGTTTTATTACACTACATTATAGTTGCCGTTCCTCCGAGCTAGCGTTCATATCGTGTTAGCTACCAAAGTAAACAAGAAAGCTAGGTTAGCATATTAGCTGGCAAGCTTACTGTGTTCATTAGATAGATGGATTAGATAGATCCACACTCCTACCACAACTACTACTAACGAATCTAAAACAACTAAGTTTCTCTAATATTTTGTGATTTGCATTTGATTTCGTCCAGCCAGATCCTGCCGGACAATACATGACGGGACTACCACACTGATGCATCGTCCTAAAAAGCCCCGGCTGCGATAGGCAAGATGCCGACAACGGGGAGGAATTGATGCAGCAAGAGCTCCAACAAGTCGTTTAGTGGAGAGAGTGAATACTGCTGAATACACATACTTTACAGAGATGCTGTATGCGAAACCAATGTGAGTTTGGAAAATTGCACAGTATAAATCTATTTTAGTATACCTCAACAATGTAATTATGATCAGTGGAAATGGCCATGACATGGGCCCTTTAAAATCAATCCTGGACTTAACTGGACCTGGTAGCCAGTGCAATGCTGCTAAAACAGGAGTGATGTGGTCCATCTTTTTCGTTCCTGTTCCCGTGCTGCAGCATTTTGTATGAATTGAAGGGTCTTTA